TGCTAATTTCCGGTGAATTGCTTTTATGTATGAGGAGCCCCTCTTGGTTTGATAGACCAATGCTGTCAGTACAGGAGCATAGAAGCTCAGAAACCATACTAAAAGCTACTCTGAACACATAAAGAGTTATTTCAGCTTGAGGTTCAAGGTCTGATGATTAATAAGCTTTGACCCAGCCCTTGCCAGTTGGAGCATCATACCATGCACGGAAAGGTAACCAGTTCAATTCTGGTCAGGGCACATACCTAGGTTGTGGGTTTGATCCCCAGTGAGGGCATGTACAGGATGCAACTGATCAACGTTTCTCTTATCTCTCTCTATCTCTCCTTCTATCTCGCCTCCTCTCTCTCTCTCTCTCTCTCTCTCTCCCTTCTCCCCCCTCCCTCTCTCTAAAATCAGAAAAACAAACCTTTGAATGAGGATTAAAATAAATAATAATAAGCTTTAGGCCATAGTCCCATTTTCTGGCTCAAACTCAGGATTGGGGACACACCTCTCCCTCTCCTGACCAGGCAGCAGCTGAGCTCTGTTTAGGACGAGCGTGGGTTAAAGGGCACGGTCAGTGCTCACAGTGAACTCAAGTTACAGGGCTCCAAAAGGGATGGAGCAATGTTTTAAAAAATGTCCTTGCAATTCGCACATTGACTAACTTCCACACGCCTGCGGGCTGGAGGAATCCTAGGCGGAGTCACATTGACCAGGTGGGGAATGAGAACACTGAATAGGACTAACAGGACCCCTCTGGTTCCAAAGAACTTTCGGGAATCAGCTCTGGGACCCTCAAGCCATCACAAAGGGAATACTAACCATGAACAGGAAGTGGGGGGTGAAAGGCCAGAGCAACCCGCAAAAATGACGTCCCTGAAGGCTGGCACCCTTCAGAACGGAAGAGGCCCAGATCCTGCCCTGCGCTCCAATGGCAGCTGAGAACAGGACAGACGATTGAATGTGGCCTGGGCAGCAGGGCACCCAGCGCGCAGGATTTCAGAGCCCACATGGCTCACAGGAGCCTCTCTATTTCAGGAAACCCCAGGGAACCAGCTGGCCTGGCTGCTAAGATGTGGGTCTGAGAGGTAGTGAAGGTCTCTCTATTTCCTCCTGAGGCTGACGTTGCTTCTAGCTGCAGGAGTTCAGAGCGGCTACTCCCTTCCCGTCCCAGAGTCCGGGTCTTGAAACACCCACCCGCTGCTTTGGTGGACGGAATGGAGCACGAAAAAGATGTTGAGGGGAAGGCAGGCAGCGTGCTGGCGAAGGGTGCTCAGGCTATTATTCACGGATTATGGTCCTGGTGAAAGGCAACATCTGGAATTCTGGCTTGTGTTCCCTAAGGTGTGAATGCTGGAGGGGCCAGGTCTCTAGGTTTCATACATGGGGGTTAAATTGTGTTACATCCGGTAGTTTATAGAATATCATCTCTGTCACCAGTTTGCCTGGGAAAGGACTTTCCTCGTATCAGGAAATGGAAGTAAGAACAGGTGATGTTGGGCACCACAACCCTTCCTCTAGAGAAAACCATCACCACACACACACACAGACACACACACACACACACCCGACAAAGAAGGGTCAGTGGCTGACTGTATACAGAAGACATTTTAATCACGCAGGCACAGTTACATTACGGATGCTCCAGCTGAACAGAACCGTGTGTTTCCCATCCAAGGACTGCCTGCTCACAACAGCACAGACAACTGATGTTTGGCGGTTCCACAGCCATATTTACTATCAGACACAGACACGCGGAGCTTGTCAGAAGCTGTGATCACAGGCAGGCGGCCTGGGAAACAGGATTTTGTGTAGATACTATGCAAGGATAACTGGGTGCTGAAACAAACCCGCTGTGCTTCTCATGCCTTTTCATTCAGCTTTGGAAGAATTGAAGCTTTAGCGTTACTGTGTCAGCCCAAAGCAGCAACACTGACCCCGCCAGCTGTAGTACCATTCTTTCTCGGTAGTTATTTATCAGTCCATTCAATCTAGACAACCTACGATGGTCTAATGCAGTGGTTCTCAACCTTCCTAATGCCGCAACCCTTTAATACAGTTCCTCATGTTGTGGTGACCCCCAACCATAAAATTATTTTCGTTGCTACTTCATAACTGTAATTTTGCTACTGTTATGAATCGTAATGTAAATATCTGATATGCAGGATGTATTTAGGCGACCCCTGTGAAAGGGTCGTTCAACCCCCAAAGGGGTCTCGACCCACAGGTTGAGAACCGCTGGTCTAATGTCTAGTCACTTCCGGTTAAAATTTTCCTATCAGAAGAAGCCTAACCACTAATTAATTATCCAAATGAATTTAACCATGCTCTGTGCAGCTCGACATCTATTCCTTCCCTAGCATTGCTCTCAGCCCAAGCTAGTGCTGCCATGGAGGTGTGTTAGCCATTAACAGAGTATTCACTGCCAGTTAGGGCTGTGGCCTGGGTCACAGAGCTCCAATGCCCCGCCCATCCACTAGAGGTCACTGTGCATGCACCAGGATGGTGGCCAGCTGCAGTGCTAGAGTGTTATAAGCAGGAGGTTCTGGTCTTCAAAACCTGCTCAGATTCTAGATGCTCCACACAGATAAGGGAGGAAGCTGTTAGGAAAGGATTCCAGGAATACCAGACAGAAAAATGCAATAGTGACTGTTTTCTAAAATTCTTAGCCCTGAGCCCTGGTTGTCACAAATCCAAATGAGACATGTTCCACAATGTAGGATAGTAACTTTCAGCTTTTTTATAATGGCAAAAAGCAAAAGATCTGATTTTAATAAGTAGCAATCATGGTAAGGACTTAGGCATCCTTTAATTTTTGGAAAACTGGTTTGTCCTCATCTATAACAGTGGAAGGTATTTATAATTAGTCGATATCTACACTGATGGATGCAAAGCTCTGTCTTTTCTAGCTGGAAACACATTGCGGGGCTATAACCTGATTAAGACTGGAAATCCATGCCACCTCTCCGAGGTGGTGTTCTCTGCACAGCGGATCCTTGGTTCCTGAACGCCCATCAAGGTGCTTCAGGCACAGGCATGGCGATTGCATTGGGTTCCTATCCCATTTTCCATTGTGCAGACTTGAAATGGTACAAATGATGAGCTCTCATCCCAGTGGAGATCCTACCAACCCCATTGCCCTTTGCTATGTGTTCCCCAAAGTCTCCCCTTTGGGTTGATGCATACAGGGTCATAGCAAGAGGAGGAAGCAGTGACTAGGGGGTAAGTCCAAGCACATCGGGGCTTGAATCAAGACAAATGAAAAGATGGAAGTTGGTAAACGTGCAGGTGGCCCCTGACCCCCTGGAGCCGAATCTGGTCATCTTGTCAACCCACCCCTCTCCTTGTGAAATTGAGTCAGGGCAAGCACTTAGAATTTATAGTGTTCGGAGGAAAACAAGATAGCATAGACACGGTGTGGAGAATGTAGAGAAAAGGAATCCAACACACAGAACAAAAGAGCTGGTTTTAATTCTTAACAAAAAGATGGTTACTGTTCAAGAAGGTAGGCACTGTTTCACAGCTCCGCCAGAAATGCTGGGCCTATCAGCTTAGTGAGAAGACTACTATAAACGCTGAGTTAAAATTCAGCACTGGCTTCTACCCATGCCGAGATGCCCTAGTGCAAACCCCTCCTGGAAAAGTCTGGTGTAGCAGGTGGCCGCAGCTGTGACTTCTGCCTATGTCCACACGTCTGGTTTCTCAAATGGACCCGTCTGGTCTCCCCTATTGCCAGCTTAACACCACCTTGGTGAGGCCCACACTCTCCATAAAGAAGGACAAGGGTGGCGGAGAGGTTAAAACAGGCCCCTGTCAAGACTATTCACTTCTTGACTCCCTAGGCAGTGGCATCTGTAGGTGGCCCAAAATAGTTCCTCTGCAAAGATCTTCAGGAGAGTGGAGATACATTACATGCACATCTCATGTAGGTGAATTAACTTGGCGATTTACAAATACATAAAGAAAATATAAAGGAAAACAGTGAGACATCAATCAGACTTTAAGTAATTAGGTGATCCTACCTGCCATTCTTCAGTGAGCACAAGGCCTTCCTTTAGTTCCATGACCCCTAACCTCACTGACATGTACACATCCACGGTGCTTAGTATAATTCTACTCTATAAATGCATGTGTAATTTGTTTAATGTTTTGATTCATCTGATATCAGCCAAAAATAAAGGTAAACAGCAAAATCAAAATGAACCAAAAATGGGGACTTTTTTCATTGTTGACGGGCAGCTCACTGTCCTGGCTTCACAAAGACAAGACACTCACCATACATTATGGGTAATTTCAGGGAATTTTCAAGGGTAAATTTTACTGTTCAAATTCGCTGCACATTCTGAGACTATAACTTCCAAGTAAAATACGCCACTGTACTGCAAGGTGGACATGCTATCAATGTGACAAGTCTTTCCTGATCCCTCCAGATGTAGGGCTCTAATAATCTTAAGAGGACCATGAGCTCTCAAGGATTGTGATTACTGGAAGAAGACAAGTGGTGTGCTAATAAAATATCTAACAATGGCTTGCTGGCTGGGTGGGTGGGGGAAATGCCTTGATTTGTAGCATTGGCCAATTTATTTTTTAAAAAAATACATTTTATTGATCCTTCTACAGAGAGGAAGGGAGAGGGATAGAGAGTCAGAAACATTGACGACAGAGAAACATCGATCAGCTGCCTCCTGCACACCCCCTACTGGGTATGTGCCCGCAACCAAGGTACATGCCCTTGGCCGGAATCGAACCTGGGACCCTTGAGTCTGCAGGCCAACGCTCTCTCCACTGAGCCAAACCTGTTAGGGCAACATTGGCCAATTTCCATGGTGTAAATGCCTCATCATCACCAATTTCAACTTCCCAACTTCATGTCACTGTACAGGGTGTTGGGACAGATGTGCACAGCAGGCTCTTGCTAGCTGGGATAAGCTGATGTGGTGTGTGACTTTGGCATAGCACTGGGAGGCCCAGGTAAGTCTGTTTCACTTTAATCCAGTCCCACTCATTTCTTCCTGATTGGATTCCTTATTCCTATTCAATCAGGCTGGGGGATTGCGACCTCCTTCTGAAGTTTCCTAGCTCTGAAGAGCCTCACTCAGTCAGCCCCCAAACACCTGACTCAATCACCCACCTATGTTCATTTGTCCATCTGTCACAGTGTAACTAGGAGTGGAAAAATAAATCTACATCCAAATAGTCCTTTAGAAATAAGAATAAAAGCTGTGTAGGACAACAGTGGTTTCAATAAAAAGGCAGAGGAGAGCTCATCTAGTAGAGCCCTCTCATTTTAGAAGAATAAACTGAAGCAGAGGAAGTGGTTAAGTGACTTGCTCATGGTCACATGGTTTGTTAGTGGTGTAACAAGTTCCCAGGAGCCCAGGGAGCGCTTCATTGTCTCGTGCTGCCTCCCTCAAAAGTAGGCATTCACGTTTTCTAAGGTGTGTGAGGTGTGCGGAGGGAACTACGTCGGCTCATCCTGCTGTGGAAGTCAGAACTTGCTGGCCCGAGTGGCAGGAAATGTCCCAAGAAGATGTTGACGACTTACAGGTTGTTATTCTGGCTGTTCTCTTCTTGTGGGTCTTTGGTCTGTTCGAAGGCTAGATTTGCTTGCCTTTTATTAAAGTCCCTTTTTACTCTTAAAAGGGGGGAAAAAGAAAGAGGGTTTATTCACTGAAAATAAAGAGAGTTAAGCCTTTGAAATGATAGCATTAAGCCCAACAATTTATAAAGGGAAACCTTAAAAACATCATAGATTTGAAATATTTAAGTCCCGATTTCTCTGCCTTTCCCATCAACAGAAACTTGAAGCTCATTTACCTACTACAATATTTGAAATTTCTTACAAAAAATAAAAAAGGTTCCATAAATTCCCAAATGTTCTATTATCATTTTTGTAATTAGAAAGAATAAAAAAATGTTAAAAATATATTAAGGTTTTGTAGGTAAAGTCTGGCTTGAAACACTATCATTTGCTGGGCTACTGTTCTTACAGGAGCTACTGACTTACTTTTCCCTGTTGAAAATGATGAATTCCTTTTGCACAGATTCAAGGTGCTCTTGCAGAAGGCACATCTTCCAGGTGAACGTTGAAAAAAGAGTAGAGATATAGTTAGTAGATCAATGAGGGTCCTCAAGCAGCCAACACCTATTGAGGGTCTGTTCACTGAATGGCCCAATCAAAGAATGCATCCTTAAAACAGATGCTATCTCAAAGTTTGTAGCAGGAGTGAGACCCCAACCAGAACAATAGGGCAGCAAATAGGGAAGAAACAACAAGAGGATAAAATACATCAACACACTGCTCCCCACAATGAGCCAGCAGGAAAGACTTGGGTTATGGTTCATGACCTTGATGTCTTTCAGCCAAGCAGCCCTAGAAGAAACCATGGCTGCAAGGAGGGTGGGGACAAGGGCTTATTGAGCTAGTTATCTGCTCACCTCTAGTCTCCTGGCCTTCAATGTGAAAGGTTTGGAGGTTCTACTTGAATTTAATGAACAGCCTCGAAACATCACTTCACACTGAATTCCTATCATATGTTCCCCTCAGCGACTGTGCTGAGGTTCATGAACTAGACTTTAGGGGCAGCAAACAGAGCTGTCCATATTTGTGACTTCTCACAGACATGCAAACCATTTGCTTTGCTGTTTCACTGTCTAGCTTTCAACACCAAACAATGACTTGGCCATCATCATGAGAAAACTGAACCTCAAAAAAATGATACTCATCGGGCCCAGGACAGTGTCAGCCCCAGATCCAATATTTTAAAAGTCTGCAACAAAGTACTTCCAAATTACTTCTGATGAAAAATATTATTCTCCAAGAAAGAAATGCCATTCATTCATATTTTTAAAAATCTAGGAATTAGAAAATGCTATATATTCAAGTACAATTTTAACACTAAAATATTACATAAATATATAAACAAAATATTACATACTATTTAAAAATATATTTACATAAAATTTTGTTTATCTATTTTATATATGTATATGTTTATATATTTATATACATATATATGTATGTACTTACACATTACATTTGTAAAAATATTTGTGTATATGTAAACAAAACACATTTATATAAACATACCCTATATAATAAAGAGGCAATATGCAAATTGACTGTCATGCCCTCACATAAAAGATGGCCGCTCCCATGTGGTCAAAAGATGGCTGCCCCTATGTGGTCACAAGATGACCAGCAGGGGAGGGCAGTTGTGGGTGATCGGGCCTGCAGGGGAGGGCAGTTGGGGGCAACCAGGTTGGCAGGGGAGGGCAGTTGGGAGTGACCAGGCCTGCAGGGGAG